TAGTGACTGATGGTGACCCTTTTCAGAGTTTCCCAGATAGAGAATACTCAGAAGTGGTTGGCCACTCTCTTCTTCCGGGAGCCCCTCGGGACTGTGCCACTTGCCCAAGGCCAAATAACTTGGCTGTATTCACAGGAGGTAGAGCAGGGAATTGAACTCCCAACCTTTGGCTGCACAGCCAGATGCAGCTGACCATCTAGCTAGCTCAAAATTCAACAGGTACAGCTATTTCCAGCATGAAGAAGGTCATACTGGAACTACGTGCCATTGCTGTTGTTAAATATGAGGAGCCTGGCAGAAGACAGAGGTAGCAATGTTGATTCAGCACGCAAGCGTTCAAAACCCAAACTGATCGACTGAAATTATCATCATAGTGTAATAGTGGTTCACCCCACAAGTTCGATGGTTATACCCATGGTACCCACATGTTCAGGGCTATTGCTGTTACAGCAACCTCCCTTCACCCCTGGGGCCCTTTTTATTTCATTTTAGGACTGCGGGAAAGAACTGCACAGCCTTTATCACATTATGATCTCATTGTGGCGCATCAAGTGCTTTGCAAACATTAGATAATTGTATTTTCCCAGCGACTCTTGGAGCTGACAATTTCTAAATTGCTTTACCATGTGTTATGTGCCACAACGAAGAGATACAAGATGGGAGAGATTAAGTGAACTCGTGAACTCCCCAGCCAGCCTTCCTGTCAGTGCACCCACCCTGTCTCCAGCCTACATTTTTAACCACTATTTGCACAGAAAGGAAATAAACTAGACACTCATGATCACACACTGTGTTCCTTTTGGCTGCCTTCAATGCAGTTTTTTTTAAAAAAAAATGGGAAATGATTAATGATTAATCAGTCCTGGATGATCACACCTGTAGCAGACTTCAAGGGAGCAGATTTCTTCTGTATTGGACCTAAAGCCTGCTTAATACCGTCATACATTTCCTTGATGTTACCTGTGTTACCTGTTGCAGAGATAATGCAGGTGAATAAACATTAAGTAGGCAAAATTAGACCATTGCTTGTACTGGTTGCAGCAAGAAAGCATGGATGTGGCACGAGGAGCCAATACCAGCATCAGGTGACCTGATTGTCAGCTGATCTCAACCTCCCAGCCACTCTTGTCATCACCTCCCAGTATTTAGAGATTAAATATTTAGATATTAAAGGGTTCCCTCCAATCTTAAGGTTTCCCTGAGTCAAAAGGGGGACCATAATTTTGAAAACCATTTCCCACCAGTGCGAATTGCGTGGCTAAGGTCAGATCTGGCTTGGGCCTCAGAGGTTGACCTTTATGGGATGGTCAAGCTCTGGGGGAGGGGTGCGGGATTACATCTCTCATCATCCCTACGGCTATCAGGTGGGGTATGACTGTTAGCAACCATTTGTAAATATTGAGATATATGAAGATTGGCTCATTTCACACAACAGAATACGCTGGGGATTATGGAAGCTGTAGCTGAAGATGTCCGGAAGGCATCTAGCTGGTTACAACTGCCTAGAGAAAAGATGCATCTAATCGCTATTAAGCAACATAATTTCCAGTACCATGAGGAGAATGAAAATGTTGGCAAAACACATTTAACCACATGGATCCAAGATTACTCTCAACTTTGCTGCCAGCTTGGCTGTTCCACCACCTAAGATCATGTCTTAGTACAAGGTGGGAAACTTAGGCCTTGGCAATAAATCTGGCCTCCCAGGATTTCTCATTTGGCCGCACACACCCTTCCTCACAAAAATACGACCCGATGGTTTCTCAGCTTTTCTTCCGATTTTGTACATTTTTATTACACACCGTCAAGTCAGAACCAACTTATGGAGACCCTGATAAGGCTTTCAAGGGAAGTGAGATATTTAAGGAGTGGTTTTCCCAGTGATAACCCCACAATGAATTTGGACGGCTCACCAGAATTCAAACCCGGGTCTCCTGAGTCCCAGTCTGTCACTATACCACAGTGGGTATCTGTTGTACAGTTACAACTTAATTATTGACAGTTACAGCTTTAAGTTAAAGGAATATCCTCACTCTTTTACCTCCTTCCTCACCACTGGAATGTGGCTCTCAATAAAATCTCTGAGATGGAATTTGGCCCTCAAGTTGACAGAGGTTCGTTGTTCTAGCATTTGCTTAGCCTAACTGAGAAGTCCCACTGCATGGAAATGTACCCTTGGCCTGCTCCTGTATGACACAATATACTGTGTACCTTGGTGTTTGAAATGCCGAAGATTTTTCAAGTTTTTCTAGTTCTCATAATTTCCAAGCTAATAACTGTAGAATTCACCTCAACTTTCTCCCGACTGCCCTGCACAAGGAGGTAGGTGACGTAATTCAGTGCAAAACAGTACCACATTTAAAACATGATTTAAAGGCTTAATAAATCTTTCTTCTGAATGTCATACAAAATAAATTAAAAGAAGGGAAACCAAAGGCCCAGATTTGAAGACTTTTACAGGAAAAACAAACCATCCTTCATAGTGCAAACACAGGAACTAAGAGACTGCCTCGTTTTCACATGAGAGTGTCATCAGACTTAACAATTCTGAGTCACAATTCACTGCCTTCAGAAAGTGCTTTGCCTAATTTGGACAACAACCATATTTTCTATCTCTATTTGAATTGTTCTTTATTTCCTTTCACTTTTCCTTCCAGTCTTCTCTTAACATTATTACCTGCTTCTCTGCCCACATCTTCCATAACAGCTCTTCCTGTCACTAGAGGCCATTTCACTCTGTAATTATTTTATTCAGTAGCAACCTGCCCAGATGTCCCTCAGGGGATCTCAGCTCTTCCCAATTGTCCCATCTCTCTTTCATTCTTCAGAAGAACCTATTATGTTGCAAAGAAGGACCACAGCAGCAGGGACAGCGCTATCCTTGGGCAGAGTGAGACAGCAACCACAGTCCAATTTTTCTTTTTGTTGATGAGCAGAGTTGCATGTCCCACACAATCCATCTTTTATGCCCTAAACCAGTGGTCCCCAACCTTGGGCCTCCAGATGTTCTTGGACTTCAACTCCCAGAAGCCTTCACCACCACCTCTGCTGGCCAGGATTTCTGGGAGTTGAAGTCCAAGAACATCTGGAGGGCCAAGGTTGGATACCACTGCCCTAAACTGTCTTCTTGAGTCTCATCAGCTTCTGTATGGGAGGAGGGCAGAAATCCTATCTTGTCCTTTGCCTCGAGCAGCAGCAAAACAATTTGAGACCACTCTGCAAAATAGGAATTATATGTTTCAAGTCCTCTTCTCAAAGTTTTGGAGTACCATGCAAAAGAGGAAGCCTGCCCATGACATCTCCCATCCCTTTGGGAGACAAGTGCCTAACTTCTGTAAACTAGTTTCTTCTTTCTCAAGTCCCATTCCAGATAAGACTTGTGGAGGGGAGGGGGAGGTCACACATTGCAAGTTCTAGGTTTCATGAACCAAATTGTGAGAAACCCAGTTGTGGTCCCTCAACTGAGTGAAGGACAGGCATTTTACATACGTCTTCTCCACAGGTACAAATGTCCACATTTTTCACAGCACACAAGATGGGAGATTTGGAGAACTTGGAACGTCTCCAGGTAATGCCAGAACTTCATTGTGTACGGTCCACATGGCTGAGAGAGAGAAAAAAATTAGCTTCCAAAGCGACGGGAGCTATGGGGAAATTATAGTTTGGAACAGGAAACCAATTCGGGAGATCGTGTTCTTCCCATCTTCTGAGTCCGTGGGCAGAAAAGCTTCCGAATGAAAGGAGGTAAAGTGAAAAGCTGCTCTATCCGCGTCAGGAAGCTCCAACACGAATGCTGCACAGCCGAGGAAGAGAAGTAGAAGATGAAAGGGTCGAAGCTGGCGTTGAAAGTGCTAGGAAGCAACGCTTCCTCCCTCCAATCTGGGCTGTCCCCCTGGATAAAGCCATAGACGTGGGAGACGTTGTAGGGTGAGAAGCAGATGATGAAGACCGCTAATGTGGCGGCCACCAAACCTACGGCGCGTTGCTTTTTGCTCCTGCGAATGTGGGCTGAGGTGATCACAATTCTCATGAAGCCAAAGTAGCAGAAGCAGGTGATCAAAGAGGGGACCAGGAAGAGAACGATGCCGAGCTCTAGACGGACGGGGAGGAGGATGGCAAGCTGGTCCTTGGTGAAGTTCTTATAACAGGAGTTGTTTATCAAAGAATAGTTCCCAGGGTAAAATTCGGTAATGTAGACAATGCTGCAGTGGGCAAAAGAACACACCCAGAGGCCGAAGCTTGCCACCACCACGTAAGGTAAATGGCGCTTCAGTCTGTAGCGGACGGGGTAGGCCACCCCCAGGTAGCGCTCCACGCTCAACGCTGTGAGGAAGAGCGTTGTGGAGTAAATGCTGCTAAAGTAGAAGAGTCCGCTGAGGGGGCACAGGTAATTAGGGAGGGACCAGTGGCCTGAAACATCTTCTGATATTTTGAAGGGCAAAAAGGCCAGGAAACAGAGATCGGAGAGGGTGAGGTTGAGGAGGAGGATGGTGTTGGGGGTAGCCTTGGTCTTCAGCTTCTGGATGAGAGCATAGAGGGCCAGCAGGTTGGTGGGGAAGCCGGTGAGGATGGTGAGCACATAGATGGCAAGGTAGAGGCCCCGTGTTTCAAGGCTGTGGGACATGCTGGAGGCTTGCCACCTGTGGGGAGAGGAGGAACATGTGAAACAGTGGGTATAGGAAGGAAGACAGCAATACTCTTTTCAGACTTCCTTTCTAGAATTCATAGACAGTTGCCAGCTCACTGTTCTGTGGCATTGACTGGGTGCTCTTTTCCATGGGCAGCACATGATCAAAATTCAGGCATCAGCCCTCCTTCAGCGCAGTCCAAAAGGCACCCAAAGCCACTCTAATTTTATGGATGAATTGGGATTTTGGAAGGCCATCTCTTTGGCTGGCATGTTTCGCCCTGAGAGTGGCTTGCTTAAGACCACCTAGTACAGTGGTGCCTCGCAAGACAAATGCCTCGCAGGACAAAAAACTCGCAAGACAAATGGTTTTGGCAATGGGGGTTGATGACTTGCAAGACAAATGTTCCTTTGGCCTTGCTTCGCAAGACAAATGTTTGCCTCATGTTTGCTGATTTTTAAATGTTTTTCTATGATGTTTAAACAGTTAAAGTTTTTTGACTGAAATTTTTGAAATCATCTGCACAATATGTATGGCTTTAAAGAACACTTAATAAACCCTTTGTAAACCAAATTTGACTTTGTTCTGACTTTTTTTGCCCATAGGAACACATTAATTAGATTTCAATGCATTCCTATGGGAAAACGCACTTCACAAGATAAATTTTTCGCAAGACAACATTAACTGCGGAACGAATTAAATTTGTCTCACAAGGCACCACGGTAATTAGCTTGTGGGGGTGGGAGAAGCAAGGTTTGAAACAAAGACTTAGCCAAACACATTTTTAACATGACAGAACACATGGCAAGGGTGTGCCTTGAATGCAGGTAGATGTGGGGGGGGAGAGGGAAATTCATGATGAATTCTGTATTTTGTTTGTATATTATTAATCCTGAATTTCTCCCCTAAGGGGAACCCAACACAGCTGACAAAAAACATTTAAAAGACAAAAATAATTTAAAACATTCAGTTTAACATGTTCACATTATAACATACAACATTTTAAACATGATTTTAAAAACTATAAAACAGATTATAAAAGCTTGCTTCTTCTCTGCATTTCCAGTGCTCCTGTATTCCTATTCTGTTATTTACTAGACCATGCCAGCTATCTTTTATAGTGCTAGCAGGTATGAGGAGTTTTGTGTTTTGTTTTTTCCCCACTTCTTTCAAAATTCAAATGCGCTTCCTTGTTCATTGAAGTTTTCAGGGAATCTACACACCACCTTTCATCTCCAACTTCTCATTTTTTCCTATCACTTTTTCCATCTTTTTATCCTTCCTTCCTTCCTTCCTTCCTTCCTTTCCATTCCATTCCTTCCTTCCTTCCATTCCATTCCATTCCATTCCATTCCATTCCTTCCTTCCATTCCATTCCATTCCTTCCTTCCTATAGGAGACTCAAGGTGGCTTACAAAAGCCAAAACAACAGATTTAGAAACACTATATAAATGTCACATTAAAAAAACAATTACACTTATATTAAAATTAAAAATTGAGTTTACTAGAAAACATGAAGCAAAAATATGGGGGGGAGAGAAGGACTATTGACAGGGACTTAACAGCTGCATAAAGTTTTCTGATGGTTACACAGTATCTCTCCCAACACCAGCCCCACACAACAGATGTAGGCCCAATTCTACGTTAGGAGAACAGACATTACAGACTTGTCTCTGATGGACTGTCACCTACCCGGTGGCAGGAGGTGGCATCAATAGGGCCCTCAGCAGTGCCACCATGTTGGGTCTGCATGCCATTTAGACATCCATCAGTACCTCTGATTTATCATCATTTGGGAACACGATAAGAAATTTTAATGGGCCTCATTTTTTTTAAAAAAGTATTAGAGGAGGCTCCAGATCAAGCATGAATGAGGCGTCTGACCTGTGTCACTGCGGAAGGCTGATGCCAAGCTTTTACTTGCCTTGTTTATTTAAAACTCTGCTGATTTTACAAGCCACAGGAAACTATGAAATCATGTAAAAGACGCCATCCAGAAATGCAGTAGGCTTTGTGGGTCAAACTGGTTCAAACTAGACAATGATGTTCCTTACTCTCTCTTTTTTTTAGGAGATGGGTCTCGTTTTCCAACAAACTGGTTCAAACTAGACAATGATGTTCTTCTCTCTCTCTTTTTTTTTCAAGGAGATGGGTCTGGTTTTCCAGACCAACACATCTTGTATTTCATGTGCTTTCTTTTGCAAATGGTAAACATGGGCCTAATTTACAAGTCGGATTGCTCAAGTGTGTATCTCTGTGGAAATCTCTGTGTGGGAGGGGAAGCAGGACAATTGTAGGGAATATACATTTCCATAACACCCTGACTGTCTGCTTTGGTCTTACAAAGTTCTTGGGGCTTGCCTTTGTGCATCTACAGTATCTTATGAGTGTTGGGCTGGCCTTGAGCCTGCTCTTTCAAGGAAGACTAGGGCATCCATCTGAAAGATTCCCCCAAAAATGGTGATGTGAAAACAAAGCATGGGATAACAAAGACAGGAGTGAAATATAGTCCCCAGGGGACCCTTAGTATGTACATGGCAATTCTTGAACAATGGCCATGCTGGGAATTGTAGTCCACAAAAGGGAACTTCTGTATATTTTGGCCTTGGCTTCTGCCTTCTTCTGCAGCGGTCACATGCAGTTATTGTTTTGATTTGTTGCAGATAAGCACCTCCACCTTAAAGGGATGCATATTATGCCCTCCTTTTAACAAACGGCACGCCTGCTTAATTCTACTTGAGATTATCTTAACTATATCTTTACTTCTAGCCCTGGTTTTGGAGAAATTTCAGTGAAGTTGATCCCTACTCCCCGCACACTCAATTCTGTATCCAGAAATAAGGAATAATATTTTGAGAAGACAATTTGTATGTAGTAAGAAACAGATTTACAACTCCAGTTTCCATTGCTCTCTCTAACTGGGATGCCTTCTCTCTCCTGCCAGCCTTGCCCTTGGCAATAAGTTCATGCCAGGCTCAGCTCTGATCTATAGCAATTTCTTCCATCTTGGCATCATCCCCAGGAAAGGTCAGCAGGGGATTGTGGTTTACAAAGCATGCCACGTAAGAACTGTGTGTTTGGATAAAGTAATTTGGCCGATAGCCCTGGGACAACTGCCTGGTATAAACCATCCTGGCCCACTTGCCATCTTGTTCTGGGCATCCATTCTTCCCCACCTACATCTCCATCCCTCGCACGTCCTGGATTTATGGGCTGAAGGAGACCCAGTTCACAAAAAGGATCAAGGCAGGAGAAATAAGTTGGGAAGGAAGGAAACAGCAAGGTCTAGGTGGTAAGTGGCTACCTTTGCGAATATTGCCACAAAGTTATTAGCCCATACTATTCCTCTGTCCATATAATCATCATTAGAGATGGACATAAATTAAAAAATGTTAGAGATGGACACAAATTTAAAAAATGAATTGCAAAATCAAAATTAGCAAAATCAAATTAGCAATCAAAAATTGCTAATTTGTCCATTCGTATTTGTCTGAAACAATGCTACGAATACAAATCAACTTTTTAAATTCATCGTTTTGTTGGTCTATAAAATGCCCCCCCGGCACCTAGAGACACCAAAAGCACAGAGAAGTGTCCCCTGACACTCCTCTACAATCCCACCAAGTTTGGTGAAGATTGGGTTTTGCCCAAGCCAGTTGCTAAAAGGCACTTTCCTAGATGTCCAAAACCCAAATTTTACCAGTCTTGCAGTGCATGTAAAGGAGAGTCAGGGGAGGCTCCTCTGTGATTTTGGTGTCATTAGGTGTCTGCAGAGGTGTGCGTGGGTATTGCATAGGACTTTAAAGGTAAAACAAATCAATGAATCAATTTGTCAGTTCATCAGGAAAAAAAATCATAAATTCGTAATTCATGATTTGTCAACCTTGATGAATCACGAATCATCATTTTTCCAATTTGTGCCCATCTCTAATCATCATCATCATCATCATCATCGAACTGCAGAGCTGGAAGGGACCCTATGGATCATTGAGTCCAGCCCCTGTCAAGGAGGCCCAGTGAACTCGCAACCTCTGGCTCGGTAACCAGATACCTAAACCACTGAGCTATCTAGAAGTTCAACTTCCACAATGTTACTAGTCCATGTTATTCATCTGTCAACTCACTCATATCCACCATTGTCTACGGCAAACATATTACCAACCTTGAACTATACCAACTTTATATGGGCTTATTTTAAATATCTTAAACTTGCCTTAAAAATTAGAGCTGCGCATAGCTAACCTGAAAAATTCTGGGAGTGGTAGTCCAAGAAACACATCTTTACATCTCCACTAAATGTTAACTGCCATGAAGGTCCTCTATCCACTGGCTTACTCACTTTTGCGGCAAGTGAATGGAAATTTATAATGCTAGAACCAAGAAAGATGTAGTCAAGACTAGTATCTGGTGTGCAGATACCAGTCATGGACTGAATTTGTATTCCTTTTTAAAGTGTGTGGTCATCTAATCAACTAAGGCCCATGCCGATGTTTCTCCTGTGAAAACAGAAATTCCAATTCGCATGCGTGTTCCTCGTTCTTTAAGTTCACAACAGATCTGTGAATTGGAGAGACAATGACTGGCCCATAGTCACCCTGTACATTTCAGTGATGAGCTTGTTTGGACTACATCTCCCAGAATTCTGGTTTGAGGATTCTCAGGTTGAAGGACTTTGGTCATCTAGAATCCTCATAATCCTTTTTCAAAATATATACAGTGGTGCCCCACATAGAGACGATAATCCGTTCCGAAAAAATCGTCGATATACGGATTTGTCGCTATGCGGGGCAAAAAAGCCCATAGGAACGCATTAAAACACGCTTAATGCGTTCCTATGGGCAAAAAAACTCACCATTCTGCGAAAATCCTCCATGTGGCTGCCATTTTCACTGCCCGGTAAACGGGGAAAGGGCGCGAAAACACTGCGGGCGCCCTTTTCTTTACCCGGTGGCCATTTTGGAACCACCGATCAGCTGTTTAAAAAACATCGTTATGCGATAATCAGTAAGCGAAACGCTTACTGATCATCACAAAGCGATGTTTTCCCATCTAAAACATCGCAATGAGATCGCTTTTGCGTTCGCAAAAAACACATCGCTATGCGGATTCGTTGTTAAACGAAGCGCTCGTTATGCGGGGCACCACTGTATTTAATTTTCAAACAAAAGAATCAACATTAAATATACAAAACACTACCAATAAGTCAACTCAAAATAAACAAAACCGGTTTTCAACCCTTTGCCACCCCACACGCTCAGGACTAGTTTTCATTTCATTTTTTTCTTTATATTTCATACTGCCCCATTTCCCTCCAAAGATACATGGGCAGAATCCCCATAATCCTGTCTGGAGATCCTAGGGTCAAACTCAACTTTGAACCCACATTGCACCAGGCTAAGATCAACATCCATGTCACTCCATCACACTGAAAACAGTATGTGGTCGGGTGAAAAAGTCGGAGCAAGCTGTAGAGGAAGTGTGAGGCAGATGTGGCCAGCCCTCCAGAGGTAGTGTACTGCGACCCCCATCCTCCATGGTCCAGGATGCAGGAAAAAGAGATCACACCCCAACAGAACAGAAAGGGCCACATGTTCCCTTCCTTGTTCTAGAGGAATTTTAAATCCCAGGTGGACGTGGCAACTTGCATGTCATATTCTTCTAAAGTGGCACATGGTATGGTTGTTATGACTCTAATAAGGCTTTCAAAATATAGAGACGTTCAAGGAGTAGTTTATCACTGCCATATTGCACTGACTTTCCATGAGATTTGAACCAGCTCTCCTGAATCCTAGCTTGACACCTTACTCACTACAACACACTAGCTGAAAATGGCTTACATTCCTTCTTCTGGCCAGCTGCTTTGGTGGTGCTAGAGAGCAGGAAATGACTGGATTCGCCAGAGTCACTCTAGTGTAGTCAATGGGACCAGGAAATCAAGTCTGCAATGAAAACAACAGATGGGAAAGATGCTCATTCATCAGGGCTATCTCGCCAACGTCAACGTCTCTGTGAGAAAGCAAAAGGAGAAGGAAAGGCCCTGGGGGCAGGAGGAGGGACTAAGGCAAATAAAGACCTCAGAAGAATGACAGGGAGATTGTTTGGAAAATTTCAGAGAAAGCTGCTCCATTTTCAAAATTACAGTGTCCTTTGAAAATGGGATTTTAAAAAAAAGAATCTTGCTGATTTTACTCTTGTGAGTTCTCTTAGCTGCTGTCAGTTTACAGACAGACGCTTGAGAATGTTCCTTCAAGAGGAAGAAAAAGATGCCTTTCTCCAGGAAACGAGTGCACGGTGGACCCAAAGACCCAAAAATGTTTTTTTTAATAGCCAAGGTATGTGCAAGTACAGTGGTGCCTTGCAGGATGAAAGTAATTCGTTCCGTGAGAAGCGCTGTCTTGCTAAATTTTCATCTTGCGAAAAGTGGTTTCCCATAGGAATGCACTGCATTGCATTCCTATGGGAACCTTGCAAGACGAAAATAATTCATTCGTCTTGCGAGGCATCAGTCTTGCGAAAAACATTTGTCTTGCGAAGCTCAGCCATAGAAGAAGCCGTCTTGCAAGGCATCACAGTGATTGCAAAAAACATTCATCTTGCGGCTTTTTCGTCCCGCGAGGCCTTCGTCTTTCGAGGCACCACTGTACAAAAAAGCTCATTCGTCTTGCGAGGCACCACTGTACAAAAAAGCTCGACTAAGACATCATAAAGATGGAGTAGACCTGCTTCTCTTCGTTCCTGCAGCAGAAAGAACTGCTAACGAAATGAGATTGCTCTTAATCACCTGGTTAAGAGAGTTGACGTGTTACCAAATTATTTATTCTGATGGCAACCTTTCGGGAACTCCCAGGCATGATGTCCCCAGCACAGGAATGAAATGACAAGCCCCCTTTTTTCTTGGCCAAGACTTCTATCACCTCTGCAAAACGACTGTTTATAGAACTTGTGTGGTTTCCCTTTGTAAAAGGAAGCACACATACACAGAGCAAGCAAAAAAGCGTGGCTGATTGATTAAAGAGAGGCAAACCACCCATCCAGTGCTTTGCACAATTTATGCAGTTTATGTTATTTGTATAATTTTGTGCAAAAAAACCCCAAACGTCTTGTGAATGTGAGAACAGAAAATGTCTTGACAGTGAGCCAAAAATATTTCGTGTTCTTGCAAATGAGTATGAGATCAGCAAAGATTTCTGTCTCTCCTAACACGTCACCTCTTGAAGACAAATTGCATGCGACAACAGCACAGCTTGGAAGCCTTACTACTTGCACTCCATCTCCCAGGAAAGCCAGGTCCATTTTGTCATTAATGTTGTGAATTTGGCAAAGCAAGCAGCTGCCTTGATCCAACATTGGCATGACATTCACGCCAACAAAGCCATCATGCGTGGGTTGTGTTGGGGAGACTGCACCCAATTAATTGGCTTCAGAAAGAAATCATGCGTTTGTTGACATATGATATCAGGCACTCTTAATAGCTGCCGTGCGGAGAAATATGTCAGCCTCAAAAAGAATAATGGCCTGCTTTCATAATGCACAGTTGAGCAACGCCTTTATTACAGCCAACTAAAATTCTATATACTGCTTATTGCAAGAAGCTAATAAAATGCTTTGTGTGAACATTTACTGCAGTTATATGACTGTTAGTGTCTACTTCTGCACACACAATATGGATCAAGATAACGTTGACAATCATTCTAGGTCCTTAAATAACCATGGCTTATATCCTGCTTTACAAGCTTGGGAATTGATGGCCACAGTTAAGTGTCTTTTAAAAACAAACACATCTATTTTTTTTCTAGGCCGTACACACAAGGACATGGAATCTTAAAATTATTCTCTTGGCCCCCGAAGACGATAAGATATTTTGCTGCGCCCAGGACAACGGAGTATGTTTCTGTGCGAATTAAACAAAATCATGCAAATAATACTGTAGCATAAATTGTGAAAAAACGAGGGCGGCTGCTTTTCTTGCAGGCTTTTAAGGACTACAGCCATGGGGGGAAGGTATTCACATCTCTTTTTTTAAATCAGTCAGTTCCTCTGCACAAGAATGCAGAATTTAGCAAATATTCCTTGCATCCTAGCTACAGTAATAGCATGGGGAGGGGATAGCTCTTCGTTTTAGTTAGGCGTGATCTTTGTCCCACATATTTAAATTCTGAAAGAAAACTAACCATAAGGTCATGCCAGGAGGGGGTGTCCTTTCCCAAAATTTTGGGGTGGTGCACCTTCCCTATTCTAACCATGACTGTTTGGGTCCTCCTTTGTGTGTTTAATTTTGTGTGCTACGAGTTTTGATTTGATTGTAGTTGCATTTTGTATTACTTTTGATTTTACAGTGCTATGTTTTACAAGGTGGTGCTAAGTATTGAGTCTTACCAAGAAAAAATTGAGGTAGGAAGCTATGAACTGCAGGGTGTATTGGCCAATTTGTCTACACTCAACAGTGCAAAAATCAGCTACCTATGATTTTCATTTTCCGTCCAAAGTGAACATGGCAGCACCTCCAGAAAAGTTCAGTGTGGAGGAGCATAGGACCATAATCAAGTTCCTGTTTCTCCAAGGGAAAGGTGCAAAGCAGATCCATGATGAAATGTCACAAACTATGGGTGACAGTGGCCCTTCATATGCAACAGTTAAATGTTGGGTTATCAATTTTAAAACTGGTCATTTTGGTGTTGAAAGTGAGAAACCCAGTAGAAGGCCTGTTTCTATCTCTGTGCCTGCAAATGTGAAAGCCATCCATAACATGATCATGGAGGACCACCAAATATCAGCTAAAAGTATTGCTATATATCTGAGAATATCACGTGAGAGAGTTGGTGCTATTATCCACAATGACTTGGAAATGAGAAAGCTGGCAGCAAAGTGGATCCCCAAACTTTTGATAACCAAATAAAAGAGGAAATGTGTGTAGTCATTGGTAGCTGTTTTGGAACATTTTGCAAGAAATGAGTCAAATTTCCTGGGCAAACTGGTAACTGGTGATGAGACATGGATCTACTGTTATGATCCTGAGACAAAGGAACAGTCTAAGCAATGGAGGCACAGTGGTTCCCCCAGGCCAAAGAAGTTCTGAGTGCAAAGGTAGGTGCAGAAGCAAATGGCAACAATTTCTGGGATAAGAAGGCAGTTCTGCTGGTGGACTACCTCCAACAGATTTCAGTCATCAATGCAAAATATTACTGTGCTTTATTGATGAAGTTAAGGCAAAACATCAAGGTAAAATGACAAGGAAAGCTCTCCAAAGGTGTCATCCTGTTGCATAATAAAACTGACATCCTTAGGCTTTCAAGTGATGCCCAATCCACCCTATTCTCCCGACCTGGGCTCCTTCTGACTATTATCTGTTCCCCAAATTCAAAAAACACCAAGGGACAATGATTTGGGAGTATTCTGGAGGCAACTAATGCTGCAAATGAGTGGTTACACCAGCAGTCGGAAGAATTTTATTTACAGGGACTTAAGAAGCTGCAGGACAGATGTTGCAAGTGCACTGACTTCCTGGGGGAATACGTAGAATTTAGAATATAGCTGAATTTTTTCTGGGAAAGGCTCAATACTTATCAGCAACCTCTCATAATTAGTATTTAAATTGTGTTTACATTTGTTTGCTACAAGCTGCTCTGAGAACTTTATATTATTGCACGCCACACAAATGTTTTAGATAAACGATGAAAGAATGGGGGGAAAGGTCAAGGTAATATTTCCATCCAACACAGCCTTCTGTAAAGCAGAAGGCTTTTTTTACTAATCTGGGGAAAATAAACTTCTATGTAAGCATATTTAGGATTGCATGGAGAAATGGTTCACCTCCCAAACCTGGCGTGCCACACCAACAATCTTGGTACTGCTTAAGAATAAAATATAAACACATATTCAATATTTCATCAACACAGTCTTTTGATTCTTGAAGTCTTAACAAATTAATTATGGAACAAACGTTAATGCCTACAAAGCTAGGAGTATACAATCTGTTGTCTTGTCGATTTTGTAGACTGTAGCACCCATAAACCGCAGCAGGCAGAACTGATGTTTGGGACACGGGGGATTTTAATCCAAAATGCTGGGAGATTACCATGAAACATGTTAGACCAGCCCATCTGTTTGCATCCCGATTCAAAAGTATGGAAGTCATTGTTCAACTCATCTGAAGAGCAAGTATCCAACTCTGTTAGTCTTTAGAGATGACACAAGACTCAACAAAATTTCACTCCGGAATTTATATGTCTACACATATTTACATAACACTGCAGGCAGTTTGACTCTAATAAAGCATCCCATAAAGACAAAAGATAGAGCACTTCACGCAGCTGGAAGATTGTCAGCGTGTGGGGGGCGCTATTGGTGTGTTCAACAGCTGACATTTTGGGTCACTCCTGCTCTCTCAGTTTGACCTACAGTACTTGACAGGGTTGTTGTGAAGATAAAGTAGCAAGAAAGAAAGCCATATACACCTGCCCTGGTCAGAGATAAGAGCACACCCTCAAACCATAGTCATGAACTACATATCTATACCTCCTTGAAATTGTACTGCATGCTCTCTCTCTGTCTGTCTCTCTCTCTCTGTGAGTGAGTGAGTGAGTGAGTGAGTGAGTGAGTGAGTGAGTGAGTGAGTGAGTGAGTGAGTGAGTGAGTGAGTGAGTGAGTGAGTGAGTGAGTGAGTGAGTGAGTGAGTGAGTGAGTGAGTGAGTGAGTGAGTGAGTGAGTGAGTGAGTGAGTGAGTGAGTGAGTGAGTGAGTGAGTGAGTGAGTGAGTGAGTGAGTGAGTGAGTGAGTGAGTGAGTGAGTGAGTGAGTGAGTGAGTGAGTGAGTGAGTGAGTGAGTGAGTGAGTGAGTGAGTGAGTGAGTGAGTGAGTGAGTGAGTGAGTGAGTGAGTGAGTGAGTGAGTGAGTGAGTGAGTGAGTGAGTGAGTGA